AAGGCAAATTGAGTCAAAGAAGATGGAACATGAACAGCGTGAGGCTCAAGTTTCCAAGGCTATATCAGAGGCTAAGGTTTGATTATATTATTAATGGGCATGCAAGTGTGGTGTCGAATACGGTTCCTATATGATACGTGCATTGAGGGAATGGACTTGCTTAATAATCTTCTCCTATGTTATGAATTCCTTATGGTTAAAATTACGGTATACCTACCCCCTCACTTTGATGGTGTTTTTGCAAGTGTTGAGGTTGAAGTGGTGAGGGACATGGTTTTTGCTGCTGATGGAGTTGTTGTAGTTACAGAAGAGGTCCGGTCAAAATTCTATTATTGTACAATTTGTCGTGATTCTATTTTGTCAAACACAAAAGAACAAGAGCACGAGAGTCATTAAATAAAGAAAAGGAATGTATGTTCTCAAACACAAAAATTGTATGTAAATTTGGCCACACGTGTCCATTTACCTACAAAAACGAATTCAGCCGACAAACACAAAAGAACAAGAGCAGGTCATTAACAAGACGTAAAGATGACTTGTGATAGGAGAAAGTAGAAGGTCATTAAAAGTAGTTTAAAGTATAACAAGACATAGAGGCTTTGATTTTCATATCGCACTGCTAATTCCATAGAGGCATAATTGAAGGAAATGAATACGAGTGTTTGTGGTTGAGATAATAGATGTGAATTCCAGTGAGGGAGCCATTTGTGAAGGAAAGAGATGTGCAATATTACGCAGGTAGGGTTTCCGTGAAACAAGTTGTTCTCACAAGTTGCCAAATGAATTTTGTTTTCAGGGTTTCCGTGAAAGAGATGTGCACGCACTATTTAAATGTTGTTTTTTTATTAGTTTATTGTTGTATTAGAGGCAACATGACATGGAGGTGTAAGCTTTATTTGTTGTTTGACCAAAAAACGACGATACATTCCATCTGCCAGTCCCACACAACGACGGCGAAGACTTTATCCAGATTTTTGGCGCCATATGATAAACATTATTTTAAAGTCGCCAGATTTTTGGATGATGCAGTTGCCAATTGCCAAGAATGTATATGGTTGGTGGACACTCCTGGAGTCTATTATATTATATTTGTGAAGTAATAAATAAACCAGAGTCAAAGGGATCGCGTCATCCTTTGACCGATCCCACCATATCCAAAAGATTACGACAAGTAGAGAGAGAGAGAGAGAGAGAGAGAGAGAGAAAGAGAGAGAGGTGCTCGTGCTCATGCATGTTATAATTAACAACTTTATTCATTGAAAACGATGCTCATTGAAAATATTCCTTTGAATTCTTTTTAGTTGCGTACACCAGGGACCCTTGTCACGACTCCGTTTGTATCGATCCAGACCCAAACTTTGTCACACTTGCGGTCCTTTGTTGGACTTGGAGTGCTTTCCGCTACAATGATTGCTCGAACATTAGGGTTCTCTCGCTCTATCTTTACGGCTGCAGCTTCCCCAATTTCGCCGACCAACTCGGGCCATGATCTTTTACCCCCTGTAACATTGCAACAAATTAATAAACCAGTAATCAAATACAATTACTGTTAATCCGACAACTAATTAGCTAGTTATTAGACGTTGATATTCATTATATATATACTGACTTCAGAGTGTGAACTTGGTTCCAGAAGTTTCAAGCATGTATTTATAAGTCAGTGCTGACCTATTTGACTCGAATGCTGATCGACCACATGATTAGACTAGGTCAGATTTAATAATAAACCAAAATGTAAACACACACAAAAAACCATCAAAGATAAACAGACAAAAATTCAATCCCTAAAATATATAACACTTTTTTGTTGTCCAAATCAGGGAATTGATTTGATTGTCAGAAACAAGACTAGCCTAGATCTAATATTATTTCATGCTAAAACGTATTTATTTATAAAAACCTGCAATGGACATTACCGACTCCTGGGATACATGGATTGGGGCCGCCAGGTGGAAGCGGAGCTCTATCTTTGGGCAACAAGTAATGATCATTGGCTGCAAAATCTGTATTAGGCAGCTTCATAGGAGCTGCAGTAGGGTTGGAATTAACCTGCAAAATCAGATTCATGAAGCACAGAAACCCCACAAATTTTAGAGTGGTGTTGAAACCCTGCCCAAAGTTATAAGACATTGCTTTCATGCTGAAAATAGAGAAGAGAGATGAAACGAGTGTTAAGGTTTGCTATTTTTTTTTGTGGGACGAAATGTTGTAAGGTTTGGATGTATATATAGAGCGAGAGAACCCAACAAATATTATTTTTTTAATGATACACCTACTCTATTAGTCCAAATTGCATCTAGAAGGCGAACGTTTGCAGACTTATTTAGTTTTTGACTTATCTTTGTTTTTATCCTAATCCTTATATAATTGTTTACTTACCGACGGATGCATCGGTCTTATTTTCTCGGTTAAATACATGGGGCATGCGTATTATATATACGGTGCATGCGTTCAAACTCCAGTACGTATACTTTATATGGTCCAGAATTCAACTTGCTGTGAATAAGTTGTGGATGGTATGCTCGTGAGTGTTAATGTATATAGAGCTACAAATATATATTTTTTTTATAATGATTGGTTGAAAATCACCTATAAAAAAGTGGATGCAATGTGAAGTGGGAATATCCATTAGTTATGCCAGTTCACATCAAATCAAATTGCTGTTAAAAAGAGAGAAAAAAAGGAAGGAGAATGAAAATGTGGGCTCCACTGGGGCTCCATGGCTGTATACAAGCCCACAGATTTAGGATTATCTCCGGTCAGCTTTATGATATAGAGCCCAAATTGCTTCTAAATGGTTACATAATTTGCTTTCGATTAGGGTTCCTATATAGGAGGATACGTGCATGATATGCATCTATACACTTTACAATTCTGATGCCAGTCACTGGTCAAACTTCACTGCGTACTTTATGCATACCTTCTAGAGAGATGTTATTGTCATCTATCGGACATCCATCTGGTGGTGTGGTCGGTTACTTGCCCATCAACTCACATTCAACTTTGATTTTCTTCTGATCGTCCTACTAAGGCAAGGCACATGTGAAATTTGTCTCTTTTTGAACAGAGACATAATGATTGAGGGAATGGAGTTGCTTAACATCAGCTTGGTAGTGTTGCATGTGTAGTTTTGGTTCTTCTGGTGCACAAAAGAAAGTTGATGGTATTCAATATAGTTGTTGGTTCCCGATTGATTAACCTAAACAAGTTTTACATTGGTTGTTAATAAGTATTACAGCAGACTACCATATCAGTAAAAGAAATCAATAGCTCTACCCCCACACTTTGGTAGTGTTTTTGCAAGTGTTGAGGTTGAGCTGCTGATAGGAGAAAGTTCAAGGTCATTAAAAGTAAATCAAACCCAGGTTGGGTGTGTCCAAGACCCCATGAAGAATTCCTTGCTAAATTAGGTGGTGGTAGGATGGTACCCATGGGTGTACATTGCCCATAGTCACAGTTAAAAAATTTAAAAGATAAAAAAATAAAGGAAATAAGATAGGACCTGTTTGAATAACTCAAACCTAAAGGTTCTTTAACAAACTCTAGGAGCTGAATGAAATGCTTAAGGGAAGTAGACCTATATAGCCGTATGGAAAAATATCAATGGAAGGATGAAGGTCCATTTACTAAGGCTTCTCTTTTCCTTCCTACGGGCTTTTCACAAAATTCTATACATGTACCACATCTTGTTATACTTCCAATTTTTTTTAAGTAAAAACCCATGACTAGGATCCAACTCATCAAGTTATCTTATCAAGCTTAAGATCTGATTTATTATAAATTTTAGACTCCTTATTTAAAATTCAACGTTTTATGTGGTGGTGTTTTAATTTTGACAATTTATTATGGTGATTCCCTCCAAAATTTTGGTCTTTAAATCAATCATCATTAACTGTCCATTTATAATGGGGTTCATTTTGCATATTTAATTGTTTTATTATAGGTTTTAATTATGGGTTTAACCATTTGAGTCATGCTAGCGAAAAAAAGAAACGTTTTTATCATACTTATATGTTTATATTCAATGTACCTATTTTTTATAATATAGAAATAATGAAAAATAGGTATGTTATTTTGTAAATATGTTTTTTATTTATAGAAAGTGTAAAAAAAAATTCTATTACAAAGTAACATACCTATTTTTGTATGGAAATAATGTACCTATTTTCTTACATAATGGGTACAAAAAATTCATTCATTCAAGCTACATATTTTTTTACCCTTTTTTTTTTAAACATAGTATCATCTAATTAACGTACCTATTTTTTCTATGAGTATTATACCTAATATTAGAATATATATATTTTTGTATGAGTAACATACAAAGTAACGTACCTATTTTTTCTATGAGTATTGTACGTTTTAGAATATATATTATACATATACATCTATATTATTGGAGGATATTAGATAATGTTTAAATATAATTGGAGGATGTATAATAAAATTCATTTATTCGACCCATAGGAGGTTAGGAGGGAATACTAGAAGTAATTTGATTGTTGCCCATTATTTATGGGAGTGGAAACATAAATGTGCAGTGAGGTATTATTCATTTGCCTTAATTAGGTGATTGGAAAACGGTTAGCAACCAAATAAAGATCCAGTGGCATGATTTGTAAATAAATCAACCAACATAGACACATTTTATCCCAATTTAAAATTGGGTTTTACTTAAACATTGTATGACCCTAAAGTTTAAGACATAAGAAACTATCATAAGGCAGCTCACTTAAAGACCAGCCAGACATAAGATTATTCTACACGTTGTAAAGAAACAGGAACAAGTGGTAACAAGTGATTCTGTGCCATCTCATCTAAGCCTACTTTTATAGAGCCAGGAATGCTTATGTTTGAGTTCGAAATCTCTTGGAATGGTCTCACACACAGGTGTAGTCTCGACCGTCTCTATCCGTGCTTGCTTCCCTAATTAAAGACCTGAAGCTTGCATGGGTATAGCGAGCCTCGCTTGTGCTTTCAAATTGAAAGAAGCTATTTAACACAATTTGTGTTTCAGCAAAATGATTATCTGCAGGCTTACGGGTGTAATGAGCTTTGGTCGTGTATAGTCTTATGAAGTCTTGAATGTACAAAGGTATTGTTAGGTGAGATGCTGTATAGAGGCTGGTTGTTTTTCACAATCTTCTCCTATTTTATGAATTCCTTATGGTTAAAATTATGGTGTACATCAGTCCTGCACATTGCTCTTCTAGCGGTTCGGTTTCAAGTAGCTTCATGCTTGGTAGTTTTGATTCTTCTGGTGGCACAAATGAAAGTTGATATTCAATATAGTTGGTTCCCGATTGATTAACCTAAACAAGTTTGACATTGGTTGTTAATATCTATTACAGCTGACTACCAGCAGTAAAAGAAATCAAAGGTTATCAAACATCTGCTCCATAAATGTTGGCAGGAGATGATGTTTGAACTTAGCTTTATCATCGAACTCTTCTGTGGTGAAGAGCAAGTTCAATTATTATTTTTTTCCAACAAAACATGTCGGCATATCTAGTACTAAAAACCCAATGAAAATAACAAGTTTATTTCTTTTTGGGTCCAACAAAAAGTCATCATTGTACAAGGATTGTAGCTCAAGTAGTTAAAGGTATTTATTTTTATACTCAATATTAAAAAGTATTTATATTTATACCTAATATTTTAGGTTTGTAACTCTTCACCAATGTCGATTGTATAATAAGAAAAAGGAAAAAGAGTTATTTGGGTTTGTAGCAATGAAGTTTCGCATTAGCCCATGGGTAAAGGTTATGACTTCAATTGCTGAGCCGAAGGCCCAAAACAAAAACTACACTAAAATCTATCTTGAGAATCCAAATGACATAAAAGGCCTATAGGAAAACATAAACTCAGCCCAGCAAACCCATTCGCAATCATATGTCGCAGCGCTAGTTGCCAGCAGCAGAACAAGAAAAGCAAAATAGAAAAGAAGTGAATTCGAAGAAGCACTGGCACTATTGATGGAAAAACGGTCTGAACCCCAAACCGAAAGCGAAAGAGCTGAACTTGTTGCCTGAATCAACTTTGCATTGCCAAAATGGGCTTAAGCATGACCCAAGTAACGAAGAGCTAAAGAAGCTGTTAAGGCAAATTGAGTCAAAGAAGATGGAACATGAACAGCGTGAGGCTCAAGTTTCCAAGGCTATATCAGAGGCTAAGGTTTGGTTATATTACTAATGGAATGATACAATTATGAATGAACTGTTTGTGATTGTTCTCAGGCTCATGTTTATTTCTTTGTTGAAACTATGCAGGACCTTGTTTCCGCGATCAAAAGTAGAGGGCTGAAAATTGGGAAGGCAATGTATCAAGAACTTACAGGATTAAGAAAGCCTGTATTAGATAAGAATAATATTCTTCATTGGCCAGTTCTTCTGCTGTATGCAGAGGTTATGTCCAGTGACTTCATTGAGGATTTCTGTGAGACTGAAATGTTGTCAGCTCATCTGGATATGGTATCCTTCTTTTAAAGCGTTCTGCTATATTTTAAAGTTGAATTGCCTATGAGTTTTCAATGCAGCATCTAATGCTTTTGGATATATGTGCATTTTGTGGTTTCCTGAGCATTCAAACATGTTTTCAGAAAGCTGCCCACCTTTGTCATGGGATCAGGAACACCATTACACTCGTGAAGCTGTTGAATTATACTATGAAGTAAGTCATTTTATTTTTTTGTAATTTGGTTTACATATACTCAATATTAAAAGGAAGTTGCTTTCTGAAGAATCTTCTTAATATTCTGTATTATTGAACTTCTCTAGCAAAGGAAAATGAGCAAGTTCATCTATATTTTGGATTGCTTGCATCATATTTGACTTCTGAGAGTAATTGGCTAAGTCTCAGGAGTTTGACCATATCATCTACATGAAGCGATGATAATTATTAAATCTGTAGAACTGGATGTTGTGGCATGAGCCATGACTGTTGGTTTGACATAAACGCATTATCTGATACTAGGGTGCTGCTATCCACTCTTTTGAGTTTATTTTTCTTAGACTTTAGTATGCATGCTGCGGGATTGTGATTTGATATTTGGTTCGCTTAGTTTCCAATTCTTAGGACATGAGATCACAACTGGCTTGTTGAAATTCCAAACTTTTCCTTTGTATTGCAATGTGGTTAATTGAGGTGAAAGTGTAACTAATAGAGCATGCTGGGTATTCCTGTGAATGCCCATGCATTAAAGAGTAGGAAAAGAGGTGTATGAATGAACTTGTATAAACCTCGTTATCTCCATATCTTCGTGGGTATGTCAGCAAGGAATAATTTTCTGTATCTTTAAAGATGAAATTAATTGTGCATTTTCTAATTTCTCTGTCCTTGATTTATCAGGCAGGTTCAGGAGTTTCTCTGTCAACAACAAAGATTCTTTGTTGTCTTTTAGAGGGCACTGCTGCTTCTCATGTGGAAAACATCGGTGATGAGCAAAAGGATGCAAATGAGAATTCTACTGATGGCAGCTCAGCAGGTAGGGTGTCTTCAAGTTTCTTTTTCCTACATTTCCTGTGCCAAGTGACACTACACCATCTTTTTCTGTCCTTACCAGTTATTTGTTGATTATCCATTTGAGCATTCAACTATTAGGCTGGATATGTTTCATGATGCACTAGAGTGAAATTCATCTTAATTATGGTTGTGCATGCACACGTGTGTATGGTTTAATCTATGAAAAGTCATTTGTTGGTGGCCTCTGATCATGGACAATTTAGTTTCTCCTATATACATGTTTATTGGTGCAGAAAGCCAGGTCTTACATTCAATATGATTAGAGTTTACTATAGTCATATGTAATTTACACCCATGACCTTATTTTAATCGCCTCTATCCGTGTCTTGGGGTGTATTTACTGTGTTCTGTTGCCAACTAAATTTTGTACATGACTTCTTTCAGCTTGAAAAACTGTTCCATTCTTTAAACTATCACTAATTGCAAAGAAACATTATTTGAGCCCATTTTTCCCAGGATTTCGTTTTCTTGACAAGTTTATCTGAACTTTCTTTATCAGATGTTCGTCAGGCAAAGGTTCCTCTAAATGGGTGAAAGTAAATGAGAAAAGAACACTACATGATGTTCTGAAAGAACCTAACTTTGTTATTCCGGGGATCCCAGGTCTGTCTTTAGCACACAGTTACTATCGTGTCGGTTTCATTCCTTTCATTTTTTCTTATGACAATTGTTTGGTTTTTCCCGGGCAGTGTTTTTTGTTGTTTCTAAACGTTCCAGCTTCTACAAAGAGTTCAAATCTGGGAAATGGGCTCCTCCACCTTGAGTTGCTGGTTGGTTGTCTCTTGAAGATAGGCGATGTCTATTACGATACGAGTCAAAGCTAGTGATACCTGGGTATATGACTAGGCGTCGTAGTTTTCGTTCCACAAGAATCTAAATAACATTAGCTAGATTTGTGACATAAAGTTGTTGATCCTATGACATGCCATTTGTGGATCTTATAGAATCTAAATAACATTAGCTAGATTTTCTTTAACTTGCATGAATCCTGTTATTTGGTTTGAGGTGCCTCACCACTTTAACTCAAGGTGAATACTCACCATTCTTCTCATCACTTGACATTTGCCCATATGCATAACTATGGTTCCATAAATACAAAGTAAGTATTAAGAAGGGTGGTGAGGATCCATCAAAGAAGGAACAAGGAATTTTTATAGGGTTGACTAATATTTTTTTTAAACCAAGAATTTATTTCCTAATTCTATTAGGAGATTTATTTCCTATTCTACTAGGATTTTAATTCTTTCTCTTTTGTACAAATCTTGTGTAATTAGGATTTTATTTTTTTCCTTGTATAACCCTATTAGAGTTTACACACTTTCTATTATAAATACTTTCTTTTGAAGGATGAAAATAAATAAATAAAATATTCTACCCCATATTGTTTGACTGTTTGCACTCTGACTCACCATTTTATTTCTTTTGTATGTTATTTTTCACATTGAGGTGGGAATGCATGCTAAACTGGCAAAAAAGGATGAAATTGATATTGCCGAAATAATCTTACATAAACTTAAAGGAAAGTGTGTGAGTCAAACTTCATCTCCAGTCCAGCTGTTCTTCATTTTGGGACCTGTAGGCCCTTCTTCCCCCAGTACTTCATTTGGTAGACTCTTTACGAATTTATCAAAAGCAGATTTGAGCTTTCCAGGCAAAATTTTCTCCACCGTTTTGATTTCGTCCGCAATGTCATAACTAATGTTTGGACCCCATTTCCTAGAGTAGTTGAGCCATGGTGGCTCAGTCACAGTCGACCCCAAATACTCAGCCGAGACTAATAAAGGGCTTCGTCCAGTGTCCAATACCTTCTTACTCTTGGCTGTATCATTCCTTATTCCTATTCCTCCACTCCCTTGCAAAACAAGCCCCGCCTTTGGATACAAGGCATGCCCATGCAATGACCCATAGCCCACTGCTTTGTTTCCATTTTCAAACTCAAGCTGGGAAGCGTCCACCCAAGTGCCCCCGCTGTGCTGTGAGAAGAAGACCCTCCACAGTTCCCCTGTGAAATTGCTGACTCGTAAGGTCAAATGCTCCCAATCACCAACATGCTCGCCTATCTTCCCTAATGAGACGTTGAAAAACTCAACTTTGGCCCTCGATGGCCCATTGAAAGGGTAGAAGACCCATATGGCTATATCCGTAAATGTTGAGCCCATCATGGGCTTTATGTGTAAGTACACCTGACAGTGGAGTAGATCTCCCTTTTTCACTCTTTCACTGGCGCCTTTATCCACGGGTAGGTCCAGCCAATAAGAGCCATCATTTGAGCCACCTTGGGGAAGGTTGGAGCCCGTTTGTTCGATGGCAACTGCATCACCTTGTTTTTTGTATAGAAGTGCCCCATTACTAAAAAACCAGCCCACCGAAGAAGGGAGGTATGCTTCGTCAGGATGCAAGTATATGAGTGGGGAGTAAACTTCAAGTAATGCCTCAATTTGAGTCAGGTTGGGCATGTAAATATGAGAATTAGATAGAGATAGCGTGTTCTTCAAACAAGCGATCTCAATAGTAGACGAAGGCAGACCATTTAGGGCTACGAATGTGCCAGCGGGTACACCCATAGCTTGGGTCCCCCTGTTGCTTGGTCTGAGGCTAAACACATTAAAACCATTGGCATCACCAGTGGTACCTAGTCCCCAAATCCACGAGTCAGCCTCACAGTGGTCAGTGAGGTCAGATCGAACGCACCTAATTTGATCAAGAGATGGCTTCTCCGGAGAGGTAGTGACCACATGGCCGATGGCTTCATAACCTTGTGGGGGAGTGGGTAACCAGACGTAGCCATCGCCATCTTTCTTTAGATTTTTCAAGGACTCGCTGCTCCACACGAGAGTGTAATCAAGTGGTTTCTTGAGTAAAAGGTGGTCATCTTTATCTTCGTCTCTATGTTCTGTTAACTTTGCAGCAAGGGCCCATCCCGAAAGAGGTTTGTTGTTGGGTTGGCTATAGCAACCAAGCATATAGAAACCTTGGGTTAAGGGTGAAGGTTCGAAGAAGCTTGCCCCAAGGTTGTCTGGTCCCCCCTCATGGGTAGCCCAGACTTTGGTGAAAGATGATATCTGGTATACTTGTAATCCACCTAGATCGATGCTTCCACTTGCGAACCCATCACCTGAAACATGGTATAATTAAGGATAATTAATGTTTAAGTAAAAGAGTATGATTAAGTTAATTAGCACATATAAACTATGTATCCAAAGAGAAAATATATCATCATCAAACACATATAGTGTGTGTCTAAATTAGAGGCGGTAGCACATACCAGGTGGCCAGCTGGGTAATGGAGCTGGAAGCTTGAATGTGGTTTTGATAGGTAAAACCTTGCTTTTCTTGAAAACACCCCTTGCTGAAGCTGAGAGGGCAGCACAATTTCCCATTGTTGATGTCTTCAAAGATTGAATTTCTATACATAAATGATATGTATGGAACAACAATGTAAAGGACGATAGGAACAAGAAGCATATTCTGTTTTAATTGAAGGGCTTGAAAAACAATGTAAAGGACGATTGGTATAAAGGGTCCGGCCCTTGGATGTGTCGTGCAAGCAAGCTAATTTTGGCTATTTTAATGCTTCCAAACATTGTTCAACTTGTCTTGAAAACCGAAATTGTGTCCTACGGAAATTGCTTTCTTGCATGGGTGGATCAACTCAAGAGAGATGCCATTGCTGATTCCTTCAGTTATTCTAAAGTTTGAATTACTCTAAAACAAAAAAGTGAGATTTTCAATAAGATAACCAATGGTACTTTCAATGGGACATCATTGGTGACTCACCCAACCCATACAGTAGGACCTATTTGAATAACGCAAACCTAAAGGTACGTACTACACATCAGTCCCAATGAATTCCTATATGGTTAAAATTATGGTATACATCAGTTCTGCACATTGCTCTTCTAGCGGTTCGGTTTCAAGTAACTTCATGCTTGGTCATGTTGCCTGTGTAGGAAAACATAAACTCAGCCCAGCAAACGCATTCGCAATCATATTTTGCTCTTTGTACACAACGAGTCTGCAAGTCCCAGCTTCTGCGTAAGGTTCTAGCAATACTCTGCCAGCAGCAGAACAAGAAAAGCAAAATAGAAAAGAAGCGAATTCGAAGAAGCAATGGCACTATTGATGGAAAAGGGGTCTGAGACCTTGATGCCATAGCCGCTCTCAAACAAAATACTGCTATTGAACTCAAGGTTTTCTCTCTCTCACACAGTTAAAAGCACTTGATAGGATTATATGTTGTGAAAATGGACAAACACTTTCACTCACTCCCCTAATGATCTTGTTGTTGATGGACTTTGTGACACACACTAGGATGGATGAATCACACACACACACACTTGAGAAACCAACCAAGCACAAAGTGACACAAGTATTTTAGAGGTTCAGCAATTGCCTACATCCTCTTGGTGATCCCCTTGAGAAATTCACTAATGAAAGAATAAGTTACAACTTTGGTTTACAAAGAAACCCCATTAGAACTCTATTCTCTCCCAAGCTCTCTTTTCTCTCTCACCCATTGCTCAACACTTTGATACACTTGTGAACACTCTCACAACCCTTAGTGTTTCCCTTCTTTGGTGTCTAGACTACTCAAGACTCAACTCAGCTCTCTCTTGAACTGATTGCCTTCTCTCTCTTCCTCCCTTGGTGAGATAACCTCCCTTTGAACACAATAGCTCCCAGCTACTTGACAACTTTGAGATTAACC